GCACCAGATTGACTTGGGACTGGCAGCGCGTGAGGAAGCATTCTGGGATGATTCTCGTCTTTCTGGCTGGGACGACTAGGTGATAGGGTTAGCTTTCCCTGAGGAAGTCAATAGTAGGGAAATGTTAGTTTAATCCGAACTTACTGATCAGAATAATTTTAGCTTTAAGAAATGTTGGCATAGAAGGCAGGTAAAGCAGTGAAAACAACCGTTACCACCCAGGGTAACCAATGTGCTGTGAAGGAACAGGAGAGAACCCCGAGGGTCTGGAAGAGGACACTGATAAGCAATGGCAGGATGACCAACAGAAATGGTTTTCCAGTAACAGAGCGAGGACAGTGATCAACAGCGTTTGGTATCTGAGGCCTCAGTGACTCTACTGAGATTGATCTTTTGAAGTCCAGGGTGACTTTGACTTCAGATTTAATGTTCTGATGGAGAAAAGCTTCATTGTAACTGGTTAAAGTCAAATGGTTGAGGTATGTAGGTAGCAGTAACATGCTATTGTTGGAGGAGTTTAGCTTTCAGTGAAACTTAAGGAAATTATGGAATCATAGTGAAGATTTTTTGTTGTTTGCTGTTTGTTTTTGTGTTAAAGTAGGAAGATCTATGCTTATAGCCTGTAGGGAAACAGCCCATAGAAAATTTGAAAGTAGATTTCAGAAGACCATTAAGGATATTCCCAGGAAGAGATGGATGGAGGGCTTAATCTTGAACAGAAGGCTACCCCTCCTCTGACACCAGAAGAAAAGAGATGAGGGAGGGTGCAAGAGGCACCGGTACATTCTTTTTTCCCCTTTATTCTTCTCCCGCTTTGCCCACCTCTACCCAGCCCAAGTGCCTCCTGCCCCCTGGCCCCTGCCACACTGTCGTGTATGTCTGTGAGATTTAGATATGTCCTTTGGCTAATCCCCTCACCTTCTTTCATCCAGTTCCCCTCCTCTCTTCTCTGACAGCTGTCAGTCTGCTCCGCGTGTCCATGCCTCTGTTTCTGTTTTCATGGGTTTGAAGGTGAGGATGTTAGGGGGTTCAAGACCAGTTTTCCATGAAATAAGGAAATGTCCTGAGAGAATGGAGTAAAGATTTGGAGAAAACCAAGAATCATTGGGTTAATTGGCTTTCATTAGGGCATATTTTTGGGTAAATGGTTTCAACCAGGACTAAATTTTAATTTTGTGCTTCATGCAGAAGAATCATATGGGTAATCTTTGACCCATGAGTCCTTGGTGTATGTACCAAAGGCTCAAAAAATCTTTATTAAATATTACAAATAAAACTTAGTTATGCATGATTTAAATTTTAATTCCAGTTGTAGTTCATGTAGTAGTGATGAACATATTTGAGGGAGATTTTTGGCACCTTACCCCATTGTAAAAATTTCTCTTTAATAGTATCAGCGTTTCTTTCTAATTCTTCATTTCATTTTCTCGGTTTGTAAGGGAAATAGCTGAAAACCTAAGAGATCATGTTTTAATGTCTCTTCGTGACACCATAGACTACTCATTTCTTAGGTTTTACTGACCTAGATATCAGGGTATAGTAGCCTGCTTTTAGAATTTGTACTAGGAGAATGTTAGGATGCCAGACTTCATATACCTTGAATATCACTGTGGCTCCAGTCTTCTGTTTAACTTATACTTTTTATGACAGATGTGTGATGTGCAACAAAACATTTCCTTAGGAGTTGGTGGTTTTTTGCCACCAGAACTGTCCTCAAATTAAAGTATTATCTACATTGTTTAAACTTGGTAGAAAAAATAAACCACCATCTAGAGAAGGGAAGACAAATTTGTGAACATAAGTATATAGGCAGTATTAACATTTTTTCAGTTTCAACTTAAAAGTCAATTTGAAATTTCTTTGCAGCTTGAATATAGTATAAATGCAAATGTAGTAGTGTGTAACCTAAAGTCAGCTAAAATGATTAGATTTGCAGGTGAAGTGGACCAAAGTTTTGCCACCCAAAGTGTGCCTTTTGGGGTATTGATTTTAAAGAGGTTACTCAGAAACAACTCAGAAAGAACCTTTGACCCTCCCCCTTTCCAGCCTAAGAGATTCACGTGGAAAGGCTCGCTCCAGGAAGGAAATCTAAGCCTATTCCATAGCATTAGTTAGGAAGGATCAAACAGGGCCTGTTACCCCACCTCCCCACCACTGGCTCATTGTTTCTGGGTTGCCAAGCGGGAGTTTGCCAAGTGTGTTTTGCTCATTTCAGCTGCCTGTGAATTTCCTTTTTCCCCCATTTACCTGCCCCCTTACTCCTTTGTCTGTAATGGCATATAATACCTCGATTGCCCAGAGCCTCTTTGGGTCTTGTACTTATGGCACCCCTGAATATGCATTTATATAATAAACTTCAGACATTTTTCTCCTGTTAATTTAATTATTAGCCCAGGTAGAAGGACTGAGAAGGTGGAAAGAAAATTACTTTTTTAGTCCCCACATAAGTATATATGAAATGAATGTTATATCTCTCCCAGAGTTTTTAAAATTTAATCACCCAAAGAGAAACTGATTGTTAGCTTGTTTTAACTTGTTTAACAGGAAAATCAATCCCCTCCAAGAAAATTAGTGTTTGCATATTTTGCACAAAGGTACTTGTACCCCTGAAAGAGTAGGCAAAACAGTTTTGTAATTAACTTGGCAGAAGTTCAGGTGACTTTTTTTCTTTTTCTCTATTATCAGTTTCATTAAATTTGTGTGAGTTTAGTTTTCCCCATTATGGAGGTAATAAACTGACTCTGGCAGACTGTGGTTTTTGCATGAAGCAAGCAGAAAAACGTGTTGTGAAAAGAGGGTAGGTTGGTGTAGGGTAGACTATCTTAGTCAACCTTTCTGTTGTTGTAAAATTATTAAGCAACTCTTTTCCACAGCATGTATTTCAAAAATAGATATTGCTTCACTATATTTAATGGTTATTACTACTTTTCTTCCTCTAAATGAAGTAGTGAATATGTGTAGACTAGCTTTGCAAATACTCTGCATTCTCATTTCAAATCACTATAAAAATTACCAGTTATCTCAAACCTTAAAAGTTGAATTATCTGCTTTGTGTTGCTACTCATCAATTTATGAATATTTGATAGTCTCTAAAGAAATGGGTCAAGAAAGAGCAGAATTATAGAAATGCTTTAGGAAGAGAATATAATTGTAGATTATAGTTGGGTTTTTTAACAGCATTTTATTTTTAAAAAGTGACAAGTCTTTCTGTTTGAGTGGATGCATTTAAGTATTTTATTCTAGCTTTCCTGGTGTTCCTTTTGATTTTAGCACAAGTAAATTTCTGAAGAGGAAGACTGAAGCGTGTATGCATGTGTGTGCCCAGCACACACCTGCTCTTTTGCACCAGATTTCAAAATGCATTGTTTGACATGTAGGATAAAAATTTTCAAGAACACAGAAGTAAAACTGAAAAATGATTCTAAAAAGAGAAGTGGACTAAATAGTTAAGTGATAAATACATAATTTTGTGTACAGTACTTCCATTTAAAAGCACAGCACTCTGAAGAATTTACTGTATTATGTGTATTTTAGTTACTCTTCTAGTGATATTAATAATAATAACAATGAATGTTTATATAGCACTTCATTTGTATAGCACTTTGTGATTTCCCTTTGCCAACATGCTCTATTTAATGTATTTCTTTTTTTTTTAATCATTGTTCAAGTACAGTTTTCTCCCACTTACTATTTAATGTATTTCTAATTTAATGTCACTGGGTGCTTTTGGGTCAGCATACATGAACAGCACTCCTTAACACTAGTTCATGTTTTTTGCTCTCACATCACACTCCCATCGAAGCATACGTACTATTTTTATTATCTCCACTTAAAGATGGAAAATCAAACTTGAAAATGTTAGATGATTTTGTTGTTCCTTTAAGTGTGATATTAATATAAATAGTCAACATTAACTTTGGCCAAGGTTTAATAATGGCTCCTGATAGGATTTTTAAAGCAGGATAATTTTTTTAGGACTAACGTGGTATTTGACCTCATCTAACTACTTTGAAAAATATTTTTTTTCATAAGATGATATCGTAACAGTTTAGGAACTTCAGGACTATATTATTGTATGGTCTTAACTAATTGGCTCTTTCACCAACTGTGTATAGCTCTTTGTCTCAAGGAGAAAAACTTAATCTGGAATATACCACTAGTGATCCCCATTTGAAAGAAGAGCAGCATTTACCAACAATAATGAGTCAAATAAGGGCATGTAACCACAATGTACTAACACAAAACATCAAAAGGGAATTTTTAAATTCTAATACATGGACATGCTCTATGTGGCTTGATTATTTAAAAAAGAGAAAGAGAGAAAGGACAGTGATTTTCATATACAAATATTTATTTACTGTAAACTGTCATTTAACATTTTGTTAACTCATAAATTAACATTTTTTCAGTAAATTAGAAGTTCAAAATTTCAGATTTTTAATGCTGTTTTTAAACCATGTTTTAAGAATAAGGTTTTTGGATGTAGCGGAAACTGTTTCACTTGGCAGGTTAGTTTACAGCTGTGTTATCTGTGTCACCACGATGTATATAAACATGAATATTACAGGTGTTTTCTGTGCAGGCTTCTTAAAGGAAGTCCCTACTGTTTTACAAAACACTAGAGAAATGTGGGTCTGAAACATTCTAACTCTTAATTGAAAACTGTCAAGGAGTCAATTTTATTTTTTGCATTACTTTACATAATTTTTAATACCACTGTATTTTACATTATTACTGTCAGTTCCATAATAAGCCAACTTGTTTTATTTAATAAGGCAGGTTTACTTTAATAGTTATGCTTCATTGCCATTGCAGTCCTTCCTTGATAAAAAACTATTCTGTTTTGTAAACTTTGAAAATTAAGCATATAAATCATTACCACTCTCTTTGACCTACCCCGTGTCATGGTTTGCATTGTAGGCAAATATTTCTCATTAGGTTTTTGCATCAGTAGCCCAGGAAATTACGTTTTTGTTTCTGATTTGCCTTTCCTATTACAGGTCAACAAAAATCTCTCGTTTGCTTCAACATCAGCCTCCTCACAACAGTCTAAGCTAAAACAGTCAGACATGCCGGACACTCGCCACCCAGGTCTGCGTCAGATTGGTTTCACACAGACTGGTGAGCCCTCTTCTCACTTCCACTGTTCTTTCCAATGTTCAGGTACTGCTTTTTCACAAGGGTCGTTTATCTCATTTCACAAATACAGCTCATAGCATTCTAATGGTCAGTTTTCAAGCCTGAATTACATTCTAGCATCTTCTTTTCTTTAAAAATCACTCAAGTTATTTCAAAAGCAAATTGAATTTGTTGTCTTTAATAGTAGATACTCAGCTTCTATTCCATTGAACAGATAATAATTTGATTTTTAAAAAGATTTTATTTATTTATTTTTAGAGAGAGGGGAAGGGAAGGAAAAAGGGAGAGAAACATCAGTGTGTGGTTGCCTCTCACACGCCCCTTACAGGGGACCTGACCTGCAGCCCAGGCGTGTGCCCGGACTGGGAATCAAACTGACGACCCTTTGGCTCACAGGCTCGTGCTCAGTCCCCTGAGTTACACCAGGGCTGAACAGATAATTCAAAAGTAGCAAAACATTAGGTTTAAATATGTATACTATTAAATCTGATCCAATTCTCCTAGGTAAAAGAACCATAATTGATTTTATATGTTATAATCCATTTCAAGGAATCCAAGACAAAATGCATTTTGGCAGAGACAGGATTCAACCTGCCAATGATACTTTGTTTCTTCAAAGTTGGCAAATTAATAAAATATGCAAAGAAGCTAGTTACAAAAATCTACATGAATCACTGAGTTTAAATGAACTGTACAATTGCAAATTTTTAGGCCAACGTTTTAAATTAATTTGAATAAGATTTTCAAAGGACATCAAAGAAAAAGCATTTATCTGAGAATTTTACTTTGAGATTGAAAGACAGCTATTTCTGTTCATTGGCTGTATGTTTTTGACAGTATTTTATGTATTACTGAATTCTTTTATAAAAATGAGACCACTGAGAAAAACTCAAGTTATCTTTGACAAAGCGATGATAATAAGAAGAAACTTTAGTTTGTAAAGATTGACATAATTTACTTAGAAATATGGGGGCAATGTTACTTTTCTACTTTGAAAGTGTTTGCAGTTTACATATATAAGTTATATTAATATTGCTTTATAAGTGACTTATTATGGGAGGAAAATACTTGGATCAAGAACTCTAACGTTCACTCCTGGCTGCACCTTTTGTTATAACCTGTCACCTAAGAATATTGATTTGGAGCCTGGAAATGATGTTTACATTACATCCTGTTGAGGTTCAGATCACATAGCACACTGAAATACTTTGGAAGCATAAGGCACTATATGAATATAACATACTTACTTAAATTGTAAACATGATAAATATGTGTATACTAGCTTTGAAAATATTTTGAGTTCTAATTTAAAATCAGTAAATGATAAAATTATCCCAAACATTAGAAATTTTAAATTTCTGACGTTCCAGACATCTGCCAGAAGTTGGAGCAATAGTTTTGGTTGCTCTTACGTGCAGTGCACTCTCCCTCCCTTCATGCTCTTGTTCTCTGCACCCCAACTCGGTACTGGGTTTGCCTTCACACCAGGTCGTTTTAATGACCCCTGTCATCTTCCTCCTCAGATCTAAAATGCTTCGGAGAACAAATTTTTCATTTCACACTTTAGAGTTAAAGGCATAGAAGGGAAATGTTTGGTTGAGTTAATATATTGATTAAAATTCATTCAGGTAGTGTCTTAAGTTTGTCAGCCAGCAAGTGCAGATGATAGATAAAACATTCTTCCTTTTCTGTAAAGGAAAAGAGAAGAGAGGATAGATAGGAAGGCCTTTGAAATGGAAGAGGGATTATCAGTGAGACAGATAAAGAATAAAGGAAAGCTGGGTATGATAAAGACAAGCCTTACAAACTTCACCATTGCACATGGTTCTCTCTGGCCAAACAGGCCTTGAGTTGGAGTGTTTATATGGACCGTGTCCCTCCACGTGTCCACTATCTCGGAAGCGTTAGGTTAAGCATGTGGCACACACGATAACACTGCTTCACTTGATTTTGCTTTAGTTGTTGATATGCCTGACCTCATTTTAAGGCATATCCTTCCTATAAAATTTGTTGAGATAAGACTGCATGGAATAGTTATAAAAACAAAATATGTAGTTTGTTACAAAATGGCCAAATTAATCCATTTTGTTCATTATTAGCAGCCAGTGTTTTGGGGGTGGGGGGATCTTGTACTAGGAAGCAGGTGAACCGCTTTCTGCATCTGTCTCCATTTCTAAATGACTGTAGAGTGTTGAACAATTTCTTTTCAAGCCTCAGTTTTCTTATCCCTATAGGTAAGAAAGGCTCTGGGTTTGGTGAGTTTCTGCCTTAAAAATTCTGTGATTCTCTTTAGTGTTCAAACCAGCTTTAAGAGGGGATACATATGTAGTTAAGTTTATACAAAGAGTTAATGCAAATAATCCATTGAATCTGCAATATAAAAACAAATAATGTAGATATATTTTTCAGTAAGTTATTTAATTTATTTAGAAGAAATTTTTATTACTTTTCATACAGAAAACTCAACAGTGTATACTTAGCCTAGGTTGGCAGCCAGTTCTTTAGCCTTGGCCTTTTCCAGTTTGGCAGTGTGAGCCGCCCACTTTGGACCCAGGACGTTGCCCCCCCAGTGGTGGCGGATCTCATCACATCTGTCATCGCATCTGGCAGGAGAGCTTCCACCAGCTGAGCCAGAGCTCCTTTGTTTTCCAAGTTAACCGGTGTGAAGGTGACGGTGGTGCAGGTCTTCCTGTGGCCCAGATGCCCCAGCCTGGCCTTCCCTGTGATAATGCAGTAGAGAACCCCCATCTTCCAGCACAGGGCCAGCAGGAAGACAACCAGCTCAGTGGGATCACACTCTGTGCAATCACTGCTGGGCCTTGTTCTCCACCGGGGTGGTAACAGTGTTGACCCCTGCTTGAGGGACAGGTGGCCTCTGGGTGGGGACATCCCCTTTGCCGGTGTTTTTTCCTCAGCCCTGGCCAGCAGTCTCTGCTTTTTCTCTTGCTTTGTCTCTGGTCTTTACTTGCAGGCCAGCTTAAGCAGCAGAATAGCTGCTTGGCAGTCCAAGGCCTGGGCGAACTGGTTGATGGCAGGAGGCACTTTTGGACCCTTGTAGAGAATATAGCCCTTGGCGCTGCATCTGGATGTAGCAGGGCCATTTGACAAGGCCGGTGAGGTCCCATTTGGCCTGGATGTCCCGTCCAGTGCCAAAATTCTTGGGCCTTTTCTCAAACGGATTTACCACCTTCTTGGCCTCTTGCTTCTTCACAACGGCAGGGGCCAGCACCACCTTCTTCCCCTTAGCCTTCTTTCCTTTTAGCATGTTGGGTGGTGCGGGGAGAGAAAAAGGAAAGGGAATTGTAGTGTAAGATTTTTATTTTTAAACATCCTATCTAAATATTAAAATGATATATGTAGGTGTTTGGCTTTGCACAGTATAAAAAAGGCTGTTTACACAGAGCTGGTTTGTATGGACCCACTACCCATCTTCCTTAAGAGCAGGAGTTGGGTGTGTGTGTGTGTGTGTGTGAGTGTGAGTGTGTGCTGGAAGGAAGGTAGGCTTATGGCCTCTGGTCTGCTGTAACCTCTGTTGACTTGATTCAGTGTGAGCTCTGGATGGTGGAGACTGCTAATAAAGTATTTTCTTCCTTCTTTGGTTCGTACTCTTCAGAGTTTCTAGCATGCTACCCTTATTCATTCTAAAATTACTTTAAGTGACTACTTTGTTTAAGGTCCTCATCTAAGTATATAGACCAAATATTACAGCCTCTGCTCTCAGGGAGCTTACAGTCCGTGGCTGGGAAGACAAGTGAGCATGCAGACCATTCTTTCAGAGTGGGATAGATTCTAAAACCACAGTATAAACAAAGTGTCGCTGAATAAAGAGGGATAGAGCAGCTAAGAGGTTTCTCAGACTTTACGTGTCCAAACAGAACTCTTGATTCCCTGCCCCAAAACTTCCTTTCATTTCCATTTCCCCTGCCCCATGGGTCTTCCAAATCCCAGCACATTTACCCAGCTGTTCAGGTGAAACTAGGAGCCATTCCTGATTCCTCCCTTCTACTTTCCTGCTTCTTTCTTGTCTCTTAGCTTATTCTCCCCATAGCAGCCAACATGATTCTTTGAAAATAAATTAGATAATGTGACTGCCCTGCTTAAAACTCTTAAATGGTTTTCTATCACAATTAGGACAGGTTCCAGAGTCTTCACCATGTCTCATAAAACCTTCCATGATCTTGCCTTTGTTGTCATCATAGGCCTCATCTGCAGGTGAGACTTCAGGAAAGAGCCCATAGTGCCAAAGATCACGCCTGGAAGAGAACCTGGCATAGCTAGGGAATGGTTTGAGTTTTAGTTTAGCTGCAGGAAATGGTAAGATGGATGCATTAGGTAAAAGGGGGTCTGCAAAGGCAGATTGGGATCAAATTGTGTTCTGAGGAATTCACATTTTATTCTCTAATAAAAAGGGAGCTATCCAAAGGTATGAGTGTAAAAGAAATGATAAATGTATTTTTTTTAAGATTTTGTTTATTTTTAGAGAGGAAAGGGAGGGAGAAAGAGAGAGAAACATCAATGTGCGGTTGCTGGGGGCCATGGCCTGCAACCCAGGCATGTGCCCTGACTGGGAATCGAACCTGTGACACTTTGGTTCGCACCTGCGCTTAATCCACTGAGCTACACCAGCCAGGGTGATAAATGTATTTTTAAAAAATATAGCTGCTGACACAAGATGATGGCACAGTGGAGTGGAGGCTGCACCTGGAATTTGCTGAGGTTGACTCCCTTTCCCATTCCCTCTTTGGGCACAGTGTGCCAAGAGCCCAGAGAACAGGGATAGGGGCACCTGCATAGCTAGACCCTGAGCCTGCTCCCAGCCTGTGCCGCCCCACCTGGCCCAGCCTGATCCCAACCGTTCTTGGTCTTCTCTCGTTCTGATGCATGGCCTGGGTGTGGTTTGCCACCACCAGGTCTCCAAGGCTGACGGCTCTCCTCCAGCCCGGGCTCACCTCCACTGTAGAGATATTTGGCCTCTTCCCTCCTAAACAGCCTGCCTTCAAAACCAGGGCTCCTGGACCTGCACCTGGGCCCCATTCCCTCCACTGAGACCGCACTCAACTCTACCCCACTTCTCAGATTCTTGATTCTCTTCCTTAGTTGGAAACTACTGACTTCTCTTCCAAATTAATCCCAGATCACCCTCCCCAGAATACTGGCACCATTGCCACCCCCCTTAACTGGGAGCTAGACTTCCTTCTGACTGACCTGCAAAGTCCTGGCATGGATGCCATGTACCTGGTGGTGAACAGTGTGGGCCTGGTGCCAGAAGTGCTGACCTTGGTGTTGGACCTCAACTCCCTGCTGGTGTCCTCCCTCCCAGCTTCCCTGGCCTGGCTCCTAGCCTTCATCTACCACCTGCCACACTGTACTGACTAGTCTTCTGTACTTGGGTGGTGGAGTCCTGCTTTCCCAGCTGGCCTTGATCAAAGCCTTGGTCTGACTCACTTTGGGGGCTTTCAGGCCTCTGTACCCAGCTTTACAGTGACTGATCTGGCCTGCAGAGCCTAAAGCTCCTGGGGCACCGAGCCTTTTGTGGGGCATTGAGGAGCCGGGATATACTACACCAGGTCATCCTCATTGTGGTCTCCAGTGCTTTGCTGCATCTGGCCTGTGACACTATGCCATTGCCATGAGCCTGGTGGCCTGTGTGATCAGCAGCCCGGTCAACATCTGCCTCTTTGGTACTCAGAATCTCTTCTCCCTGTTGCTATCCCTATGGGGTGCAGGGATGAGGCCACCGTGGAGGATGCCAGACATTATGGCTACCTTCCTTGCTCACATTTCCAGCAGTGCTGAAGTCATAGCCATCTTCCTTGTTGCCCTGCCAACTAGCACTGGAACTCCTGGCCTCACCTCCCCACCTCTTGCCCAGCTTTGTGCTCGTCTCCCACCTGTGCTGCTGACGTGTGTGCTGGCAGTGACAGGACTGCACCTGGACCTCACCATGAAGCTGGCCATCTGGGCACTCAGTCAGCGCTACTCCCAGCCATCCTACCACCAGCTCTGGGAAGACGTTGTGCAGCTGTTTCCCCTGCCATTGGACTTAGAGGCTTGGTACTGAGTCTGGAGCAGCTGCCTATAGCTGGCCAGCTGGCCGAACCACAGTGGAGCACCTGGGGTTCCCCAAGTTGGCTTCAGAAGTGTGCCCTCAGCCAGGACCTGGCAACAGGACACTCTTCCTGAAGTATGGTACCGGGGCAGCCTAGTAATGGCTGCCTCAGTAGCCATGCAGCCTAGGATGGCTGTGAATGCAGCCCTATACAAAATCATAAATTTACTTAAAACTTCTTTTTTTCCTCATTAGTTTTTGTTAGTGTTTGTGTATTTAATGTGTGGCCCAAGACAGTTCTTCCAGTGTGGGCCAGAGACACATACTGTTTGGACACCCCTGGTAGGACCTTGTGCTCTTCAATTCCTTTACAGTGAAACTGAAAAGCAAAGCGGCTGACGTGACAGAGTTCAGGTAGCTAGTGGCAGTCACGCCTGAAGCCAGGTTCCTCACTCCTAGCTCAGGCTCATCCTCACCACACTAGACTGCCTATTCCTCGGGGAGGACACGAGTGCAGGAGGTGGAGGAGACTGCTTGCCCAGGACCCTCGGCAAGCCAGTGCACGGAGCCATTCCTTCATTCCTGGCCCGCTGTCCTCCCACTCTGCCAGGAGGTCTCCCTGTTTGTGGGTGTTACCATGGTTACTGGCTTTGGTTGTATAGTCAAGTAACAACCTGAAGAGGACCATTTGGAATAGGTATACCTGTAAAACTGAGGCATCAAGAAGGTATTTTCTGAGGATTAATAAACTTGGGTTTTTTTGCCTTTAAATATAATTCTGTGTTTACAAGTTACTAGATTCTTTTAGAAAGCTTGGTTCTAGTGAAACTGTGGTGTTTATTCTTCAGTCAGTTCCAGAAGTTCTCTGCAGAGAAATTTTATTCTGTGACAGTTTGTCAAAATCTCAGAACCCTTTCAACCATCTCAGGAGACCTTATTATAGAAGTAAATTTTTAAATGTGGCTTATTAAGTAAAAACTAAAATTCATCAGTGTTGTGGGGGGTCATGAAAATTAGCCAGAAGTGCTTATTCTGTTGGCAGTGGGGTAGTTGTATCACCTTTATGTGTTTATACTTGAAGGACAGCATGTTTTATTTTTAAGAACTTGGTTTATCTTTTCACAGCATTGTGCTAAATTCAGTTCATGTTTAATATATGGCTCATACAAAATGAAATGAATCATTTTATTAATATAATCTTTATTTCATTTTTTTCAGTTGTTGACTTGGAGTTTGACGGGGGAGGCAGAGTGTAACTTGGTTTTAAAACCAACCAGTAGCTTCTTCTGTCTTCATATTTTTTAAAAAATATTTTATTTATTTATTTTTAGAGAAGGAAGGGAGGGAGAAAGAGAGAGAGAGAAACATCAATGTGCGGTTGCTGGGGGCCGTGGCCTGCAACCCAGGCATGTACCTTGACTGGGAATCGAACCTGCGATGCTTTGGTTCTCAGCCCGAGCTCAATCCACTGAGCTACGCCAGCCAGGGCTGTCTTCATATTTTTTTTTTTTTCCATTCTCCATTAGATCATATAAGCACATAAGAAACTTGATAACCAGTCATTGAATCTAACTTTTTACCATATCCTAAATGGTCAAGTTATTTGACTTAAAGTCATAACATCATTCTAATGACTTTGGTATTAGTTAAGATATCTGTCAAATTAACTTTTATGCTTTACATTTTGAATATTACTTGAAGAGCTATATTTTTATATTTATTTTGCATTTCTTTGACAAGTATACACTTGTTCCCTTGAGAATAAAAAATTAAAAATTAACTTAAAATTAGGAGCTATTTTTCCAGTTAAATTTTATTTTTATTGTTTTCAAGATCTCATCATTTCTTAATGTTTAATTTGTTACAGAGAAGTGCAAAACTTTTAAACTAACAAATATATTTCTGGCCAAGATTGAAGTAGGTAGATACACTTTACCTCCTTGCACAACCAAAAGAAGGACAACAACAAATTTCAAAACAAAAAATAACCAGAACTGCCAGAAAATCAAACTGTATGGAAATCCTACAACTAAGGAGTTAAGAAGGAAACATTCAACCGGCCTGGTAGGAGGGGCAGAGATGGGCAGCTGGGGTGGAGAGGAGGCATGGCAAGGCGGCACATGGCAGACCGGGTGGTCCCACATCTCCACATCTGCCTGTGGGTAAACCAGGAGGAACAACTGGGGAGCAAGGCAGACCATGCAACCCAGAGCTCCACTGAGGGGAAATAAAGCCTCAAACCTCTGGCTGTAAAAACCTGTGGGGGTTGCATCAGCAGGAGAAGCTCCCAGTCTCTCAGGAGAGTTCATTGGAGAAACCCTCATGGCCCTAGCTCATACACAAACCTACCCACCTGGGAATCAGCATCAGAAGGGCCCAATTTGCTTGTAGATAGCAGAGGAAGTAACTGAAAGCAGGGCAAAAGCCGAGCGAGTGGCATTGTTCCCTCTCAGACCCTTCCCCCACAGCACCACAATGCCACAATGAGGGTTACCCTACCCTGGTAAATACCTAAGGTTCCACCCCTGACTATATAATAGGTGGGCTGAGACAAAATAATATAGCCCTAATGAAAGAACAGATCAAAACTCCAAAAGTAGAACTAAGCGGTAAAGAGAGAGCCAACCCATCAGATTCAGAGTTCAAAACACTGGTAATAAAGATGCTCACAGAAATGGTTGAGTATGATCACAAAATAGAGGAAAAAGTGAAGGGTATGCTAAGTGCAGTAAAGAAAAATACACAGGGAACCAACAGTGAGGGGAAGGAAACCAGGACTCAAATCAACAATTTGGAGCAGAGGAAGAAATAAACATTCAACCGGAACAGAGTGAAGAAACAATTCAAAATTTGAGGAGAGGCTTAGGAACCTCCCGGACAACTTTAGATGTTCTGACATCTGAATCATAGGGGTACCAGAAGGAGAAGAGGAAGAGCAAGAAATTGAAAACTTTTTTGAAAAAATAATGGAGAACTTTTCCAATCTGGCAAAGGAAATAGACTTCCAGGAAGTCCAGGAAGCTCGGAGAGCCCCAAAGAAGTTGGACCCAAGGAGGAACACACCAAGGCACATCATCATTATATTACCCAAGATTAAAGATAAGGAGAGAATCTTAAAAGCAGCAGCAAGAGAAAAGGAGACAGTTACCTACAAAGGAGTTCCCATCAGATTCAGTTGATTTCTCAAAAGAAATCTTGCAGGCAAGAAGGGGCTGGGAAGAAGTGTTCAAAGTCATGAAAGGCAAGGACCTACGTCCAAGATTACTCTATCCAGCATAGCTATTATTTAGAATGGAAGGGCAGATAAAGTGCTTCCCAGATAAGGTCAAGTTAAAGGAGTTCATCATCACCAGGCCTTAATGAAATACTAAAGGCACTTATCTAAGAAAAAGATGATCAAAACTATGAAGATTAAAATGACAACAAACTCACAACTATCAATAACTGAACCAAAAAAACCCTACAAAAACTAAGCAAACAACTAGAATAGGAACAGAATCACAGAAATGGAGATCACATGGAGGGCTATCAGTTGGGAGGGGGAGGGGTGAGAATGTGGGACAAGGTGCAGGAATAAGAAGTATAAATGGTAGGTACAAAATAGGGGGAGGTTAAAAATAGTAGAGGAAATGGAGAAACCACAGAGCTTATTATGTACAACTCATGGACATGAACTAAGGTGAGGGAATGCTGATGAGAGGGGGTTCCATGGTGGAGGAGAATAAAGGGGAGAAAAAATGGGACAACTGTAACAGCATAATCAATAAAATATATTAAAAAAAAAGAAAAAATAATGAATTCTGCTTGGGCCATAATTTCACCAGAGAGTCCACGATATCCTTGTATAACCTATTGCAGAAGGTGTTACAAGTGAGCTGGAAACAAGATGATTCTTGTATTTCGAAGAAGAAAAAAATATTTTTGGCAAAAAATAGAAATTAGAATAATTCTCAGTAAACACAGTTGATGTTAAAAGGGGGTTTCCATTTTAAGGAAGGTAAAGTGAACTTCAAAGAACTTTCTCATCCCATCAGAATTGGCAGTATTTTCTGTTAGTATTGCTTAATGAACTTTAGACTATTAATTGAGAAGGAATATTTTATTGAATACTCTTACCAAACCTTGGAATTCAAGTTCAGATGGTAGGATGGGTGGAAGGAATTAATTCACTACCATAGATAAAGATAATCTACTACAGAATTAACTGATTTTCTGTAGACAAAAGTCCTTAAATGTTCTTTATGGAACTAGAAAGAATAAGGCTTCTATTACACAATTTTTAAAAGCAAGGTTTTGTTGAATATGAATTCAGGACTCACGCACTGTGATGGAAAACGCAGTGGCCCTCGGGTCAGAAGGCCGGGTCAGAGCTGGGCCTGAGCCCTGGCCGGCCCTTCTCAGAGCTGTTACCTTGGGTGGCTGACTTTCCCTCCCCAGGCCTCGTGTCTCTATTTTCAACTTCATTTAAATTTCCTGCTTCCTAGAATCATGAGGATCAGACAGATATTTTAAATACTTTGAAGTGCATGAGATATTGTGAGACTAAACAACATGAGTTTTTATGGGAGATTCTTCCCATTTTTTTTGAGAGGTTGAAATAATGCAATTTACATTGTGGCCAAAGGAATGGAGGAAATCTTATTTTAAGACATGATTCTAAAAAATGTGTTAAGTGATTATTATAGAAAAAAAGAACATGTTGGAGAGGCAAATAATGGATATAGAAGTTTTAGAAGCATGCCAAAAAAGACATTAAGATGAAGTAATTTTAAGAGGAAAGTTTTTAAACAAGCATCTCAAACTTTAAATAATCCACTAGAAACCACTTAACTTTTAAAACTTTGGCTTTCCACTTAAACACCAGTCACAAAACACCCTGGAGGTGAGACTGTTTTCCTGTTTGGTTTTTCTGGACACTGAGCAAAAGACCTTCATCATGCAGACTTTTTTTCCTTTAACATGACCATTTTATACTTCCCTTCCACAAAGACTGGGATTTCATTTGTTCAGCTTTTTTTTTTTTGGTGCTCTTTCATAACTGGATTCTCTGAAATTGA